TATATCAACCAATCCTAAAACATCATACAAACTCAGTCAAGTCCTCAAATCACATCAAGCAACGCTAAAATCACAAATCGCCCTCCAATCCAAACCTAATGAACTTGAATTTTAAAAATTCTACATCCGATGCCGAAACCAACCAAACCACGTCCGATTGACCCCAAATTTTGCACACAAGTCATATTCAGCACTACGGACCTACTCCAACTTCCGTAATCGGATTCTGACCCCGATATCAAAATTTCACTATTGGCCTGAAACTTCACAAATTCAACTTCCGCCATTTCAAGCCTAAATAAGCTACGGACCTCCAAAATACAATCTGAACACGCCACTAAGCCCAAATTACCCAACGGAGAAAACGGAATCAACGGAATTCCATTTCGGAACGGTCTTCACACTGCTCCGACTACCGTCCAAATTCTAAGACTACTCTCATTTAGGGCCTAAGTGTCCCAAAACTCTCCGAAACTCAAGATGAACCATCCCGGCAAATCACAACAACAGAAAAAGATACGAGGAAAGCAGCTAATAGGGGTTCAGGGCGTTAATTCTCATCGTTATATTAGGGTTTGTTACTTGGTGGCTAAGCCACTTTTACCATATAAATAGAGGGGTCCTATTCTATTGTAATTCATCCCAAATCAATAAGAATTCTCTCTCTCTCTCTCTCTCTCTCTCTCTCTCTCTCTCTTCTTCTTTTAATGTTTCGTAACATGTTATCAGCACGAGACTCTAACTGTGACGACCCGACCCGTCGTCTCATGAGTTACCGCTCCNTCTCTCTCTCTCTCTCTCTCTCTCTCTCTCTCTCTCTCTCTCTGTCTCTCTATCTCTCTCTCTCTCTCTCTCTCTCTCTCTCTCTGTCTCTTTGCAATATTCTTCTTTTATTATTTTATAACACATTATCAACACGAGACTCTAACCAATTAAGTATAGGCACCTGCTTTGGTCACCAGGCTTTGGGGAATAAATTCTGGATTTAAGGTAAGTATTTTATTTTATTTTTCTCTTTTAAATTCTTGAAATTCTATAATTTGATTTTAAATACAAGCAAAGACAATAAATTTTGATTATAACTCTATAGAGTTTGTGAGAAATTATAATCACCCGAAATGGTAAAATTTCTATGTCTTGTCATGATCAAATTCATGTATGATTATGAGCACAAGAAGTGAAAACCCGTCTCATTGAATTTGCTTCATTCTCAATACCTTAAGAGAATGTGATAGCACTATGTGATAAGTCTGAAAGAAGACAAAATTATTACCCTGAAGGTATCAATGGATGTGAACGTGTCAATAGACGAAATTATAATCGTCATCATTGTGGTAACGAGAACAATAAGGATTCTCAAAATAACCATTCACTCTGTGAAAGTATTTTTTGTCATCAATTTGACATCAGATTTTGTAAAGCACATATAATTGATTATGGTCCATTCATAATGTGAATGTGACAACATGTGATTTATGAATACATATTCATTCTTGAAAGAATAAAACGTGCTAGTGGTAGTGAATATACCACACTCTCCTCTAGAAGGAGGTTTGAGAGGAAATAAGAAAATAATGTCATTATTATGGCATGTGATCACTGGTCATGTACCTATTGTACCCCAAAATATTTTGCTAATATGATTATTAAAGGGGTAACAGTAATGCAAGAAACAAATCTTGCATATAATTTTGATCATGACCATACTGGTCACGTACCTATTGTACACCATATGGATGTTGATGAATACATGGTAGTACCAAATTAATTGAGAGATCTAGAAGAGCCAATCATTACTATTTTGGAGGAATACAATTGATTATCATGTCAATTTATTGTGTCGTAGTAAGTCTCAATGAAACTTAATCGAGTTTCTAAAGTATTCGCGAAAGCGGTTGGTTATATTGAGACTATAAATAAAGGAAATATTTAATATCTTCTATTACTACAACTTGTAGCGGGGTAATATATATATGAAAAGTTACCCGCTTTATTCTCCATTTTGTACTACACAAATAAAAGAATTACCGCAATAAAGTGGATGTTTATTGATATAAAAACACGTATCATAATAAACCTGAAGTTTATTGATAATTGCACACGTCATAGTGTACCTGAACTTTATCAATATTGATAATTTATTCGGTTGGCATAATTGGTTTAGCCATGTTAATTTAAGTATGATGTGTAAAAATAAAAGAGAATTCACATGGGTAAATATTAAAGAACTAGAAAATTTTGTACGAATTCTCTAGACCAATTAAAATTGGGATTGCGTCCCATAAATACTGGAAATATCAAAGGTGAATATGGGCACATTCACCTGCCATGTATCACATAAGATGCATCTACGAGATAGTTACATGTGCGATTATTATTAACCCGCAACCTAATGTTTGCAAGGTAACTTGCTCAATAATTTAATTTAGAGCATAATTTTCAGATTTTCTATTCAAGATAGTTTATCTTAATAAGTTGGTTTACATCACAACTAGTTTAGCAAGATAATATGTTGAATGCCAATAGTTAAACTATTGCTCATGAGAACAAAGTTATCTATATCGAATTGATATACGTTATATACGAAAGTATATTACATTCTCCCCTCACAAGTGCTTCGGGGTCAAGAACCAAATAATTGCATCGTATTACTATTAATGTGCAATGTGTATTTTGTTTAGCACCAAAATGCACAAAGATGGATTTCCAAAGTTGAGGAAGCAAGTTAGTTTTTCTAACATGAGGGAGAGATATGATACAACAGTTGAGAAAAAGTTACATGGTATGAATTATTATTTATACATCTAGATACTCGAATAAGATAAAATGAACTTGAAGTTCATAAAAAGATAATTCATTTGCAATATATTGCAAATCATGCTAGATGCATTTGCTGACCTAAAGAAAGTAACTACATTCTCACTGCATATGCTCCTATTAGAATAAGACATAGAAGGACAAAGTCTATGGTACGCTTAAAGCGTATACACAAATCGGTTTCAAATAAACTTCTTCACAAGAAGATGAGCAAATGATCATAATAAGGAGGAAAGTGATCTGAAGATCACTTGATATAACACTTCATAAAACCTCAGGAGAGGTTCAGGTACCTGAAAATATGAAGATATCTTTATGTTATGTCTTTCTAAAAAAATATTGGAACCGATATAAAATGTTCGTAGACGACATGTATCACAGCGCTAAGTATAGATGAGGATCTTAGGTCTGTCGAATACGGACACAAAAATATTTGCCAAATGGAAGAGACACAATTCGAATAGAATTTGTTTCATATGAAAGACATGTAGTTCAAACAGTTGAAAGTATAAAGTCAATGGTGTGTGCAATTATCTTTATCTATCTTATTTGTCTGGCATGATATAAAAACTTGAGATGAATCTAAAATCTATTCATATGGCTTATATGACAATCCCTAAAGGATTTAAATTGCTTAAAGCATATACAGTTCTTGATTTTGAAGTACCACATTTTAAGTGCAGTTTGTGCACATATGTATCTTGCTATAACTATAAGCATGATAATATGATAGCGAGAATCTCTATGGTGATATTGAAAAGGCCATTCCAGGAAATTATATGAAGACATTACATGTCTATCAAGAATGATGATTTCAAGGTGCAACTTATTTATTCAAGTTAATATGGCTGACTTGTTTATCAAATCTCTACCAACGATCTTTTGAAGATGGTGCACAAGATTAGAATGCGAAGGCTCGAAGATGTGAATTGATGCTCTCATTAGGGGGAGTAAATATGCGTTGTACTCTTTTTTCCCTTACAAGGTTTTGTCCCTATGGGTTTTCCTTGTAAGGTTTTTAACGAGGCGACCAAAAGGCGTATTTCTAAACATGTGTACTCTTTTTCCTTCTCTAGAATTTTTTCCCACTGGATTTTATTTTAGTTAAGGTTTTAACGAGACACATTATCTGTTGAATAGACTTTCAAGAGGGGGGGGGGGTGGGGTGTTATAAATAATATTTTATTTATGGTGAATGTCTATATTTTAGAGAGATCTTAGGGTTTGTTACTTGGTGGCTAAGTCACTTTTTCCCTATAAATAGAGCGGTCCTATTCTATTGTAATTCATCCCAAATCAATAAGAACTCTCTCTCTCTTTCTTTGCAATATTCTTATTTTATTGTTTTATAACATATTTAACTTTTTGAGGAATTTTGTCGAACACATGGAGGGGCGGAATATGCTTTGGCCTTTAATATTAGTGAGATGTGTCTAAGGGGTCATTTGGTAGGAAGTACAAGTATAATGCTGAATAGAGTATATTAGCAGTACTGGTATTAATTTTGTCGGGATTAGTTATGCTAGCATTAACTATGTTGAGATTATTTCTTATCCACAGTATGGTTTAGTATATTAAAGCATTGCAAAATTCTTAAAAAAAAGTTAGTTGTTTACAAAAATATCCTCCACATTCTTTAACTTTGTACAATTTATTTGATGGGTAATTATGTCTTTAACCATGCTTATGCAAGTATTAAAAATCCCTACATTGGTAATACCATAGTTTGCTATGTATTAGTTATAATACATAGGATAATACCAAATAAGATAACTAATACATGCATTAGTTATATATAGGTTAAAAAAATATACCAAACAAAGGGTTAATAATGCACAAAGTTAATACTTGCATTGCTTTTTTTAATAACTCCCGCCAAACGACCCCTAAGTGTGTTAAATTTTCAATATTTCAATTAGTGCATGATAAAAAATATTATTTAACTTGCTATTTTTGAAGAATTTCAAAAGTATGTTATTTATATTAGTGATATGTAACTTTTGGAAAAGACCTAGAGTGTAATTATTTTTTTTAAAATGTTATAATATAAGATAACACTATGTTAAAATTAAGTTTTAGTAAAGATGCGAATAACATGAATAAATGAATATGCCATCAATTTCGGTATTTCTTGTATAAATTTTAGTTCCCTTCTCCACCTTTACTCTGTTTTCATTCTTATCTAACTCAAAAGAGTCCAAGTTTAAGACACAATCCCTTAAACATATATCTCTATATTTGTCGTATACTCTCCACTTTCTCTATTGTTTTGTCCTTCTTCTACCCTTTGTCAAATTTCCACCTTTAAACCTTGATACAATAAAACCCCTTCACTCTCCTCCTCCTCCCTGCGCCGCCGCAATGCAAGCTCAATTACTTTCCCCACCCACCTACCACCCTACCCCCACCACCCCCACCACCACCATTTTCCCAAAATGTAGGCCCCACTTCAAGAAACCACCCACCTTCACCATCAAAGCCACCACCACCACCTCCACACCCCCACCACCCCCACAAACCACCACTCAAAAACTCAACAGATACAGTAGCCGTATAACTGAACCAAAATCCCAAGGTGGGTCACAAGCAATTCTATATGGTGTAGGATTAACTGATGAGGATATGAGTAAACCCCAGATAGGAATTTCTTCAGTTTGGTATGAAGGAAATACATGTAATATGCATTTGTTGAAATTAGCTGAGGCAGTGAAAGAAGGGGTTCAAGAAGCTAATATGGTTGGGTTTAGGTTTAATACTATCGGTGTTAGTGATGCTATTAGTATGGGGACACGTGGCATGTGTTTTAGTTTGCAGTCAAGGGATTTGATTGCTGATAGTATTGAAACTGTTATGTCTGCTCAGTGGTATGATGGGAATATTGCTATTCCTGGTTGTGACAAAAATGTAAGCCTCTTTTTACTTTTTTCTGCAAGAATTTTAAAAAAATTTACACCCTTTTGTTCTATTTGTTATTTCTTGATAAAAGATGCAAACTTTGCTATTGTTGTGTAGTAAAGATGCTAGCTTTGTTATTTTATAGGTATATTTCTTGAAGCATATGACCGACCCCAACTTGTTTGGTACTGAGACGTAGTTGTTGTTATTGTTGTTTGAATGAAGATGCAAGTTTTGGTTCAGTTTGGTGTGAAAGAAATACTTGTGATAAAAATGTGAGTCTTTTTCTACCTTTTTTCTACAAGAATCTAAAAAAAGATACTTTTTTATTGATGTTCTTGATATTTGGGAAATTCTGAGTTAGTATTTGGGCATTGGGAATTATTTCTTGGATAAAAGATGCAATATAAAAGATGCAAACTTTGCTATTCTTGTTTTGGATAAAAGATGCAAAATTTGCTATTATGATGGAGAAAAGATTTCAGCTTTGCAACTGTATAGGTATATTTGATGCATTTGCTGTTTTACTTTCAAAGAATATAATGTCTATGCTTGTACAGACAATCTTTTGTCTAAGTTCAATCTCTTATAGTACTATATGGATAAGATTCCTGGTTGATTTCCTGCAGTATTGGATGTATATGTTTCTTCGAAACATGATACTTTTGGTTAGAAGTGTATAGAGAAGTATAATGCTTTTAAGATTTTGCATAAAAGTTTGTGGATTTTTTTTTCCAGTTTGACCAAGCAAAAAGATGAATTCCAGCATATTAGGTGACTTTCTGTTGTGAAGATTTATTCGGTTATGCAATTACTTCAGAATACCAAATATTTTTATTTGACATGTTACATGGTTTTTCAAAAAAGTTGTTTCTTTGAACTGCTATGGTTATAACTCACTCAAGTGAAATTGTAATCTGTTTCAAGATTTCACATAGCAATTTATGATATAATTCCGGCATGTTTGTGATTTCTTGCAACTTCCTTACTTCCTACATTTTCAGTGTTCCTTTTCACTAAATTTTTGCCTATCTGTATGCACATTCTATGGTATTGTAGTTCTATTTTTCGTGGAGAGAAAATGTTAAGAGGACCCAAACCATTGAGCTAACCCCCCTAATCGTTTCCTACTGTTGTCTACTGCAGCTGCATTGCATGCTGTATCTCTTCGAAATGATAATCTATTGTTGTTGTATGGCAGATGCCAGGCACAATTATGGCGATGGGAAGACTAAACAGGCCAAGTATCATGATATACGGTGGAACCATTAAGGTCAGATTGGAACCCTCATGTTTGAATTCTTTCTCGTGCGTCGAAAGCCTCTCTTCATGTAGAGTAGATGTTATCTTCTGAATAATTGCTGCTTGAAACCATTCCATGGCTTCCAATATTTAGTTGAGAATAGTTAAGTTGAATAATTGTGGTGACTAAACAAAAAGGGAGATAACTAGGACAACATGCTTTATTTACTCAGAACTCCCATAATTAATAAGAGAATAGGGTAAAGTAAGACATTTAGTCCATCAAAGAGAGGCGGAGAAGAGAGTTAGCTTGACACGTCTTGGAGTTTGTTTTTCAACTTACTTGATAGGAGACAAGGAAGATTAACTTTCAGGAGGAATATGGAAAAAGAAAAGGGAAAGGAAAGCAGTGTAGCATTTGATATCTACGTTTTGATGTATCTGTGTTAGCCCCTTGGTGTAGTGGCTCTTTTGCACCTTCAATCCTTCATTTACATGGTCTTTTGCACAGTGTATGCAACAGAACTTGTTTGGTTTACTTGAGGGGTTTCTTTTGTCTTTCCTGCTAAACTTTTTGATTTGGTATTAAGATTGATCAAATTCTTTGGAAATCCCTTATGTTGATTTTAGGAGATGATATGCTGTTTCCACTATGTCTTGAGTGAAGAAGTTGTATATTTAGTGAAAAAAAATTCTTGAAGATGATTGTGGTCTGTTGTCTGGTGCAAAGCCACAGGACCATGTATCTTTTTCAATCCAATGATGACAGAGCTACATATCCGTCTTGTAAATTTCTCGTATATCACTAAAATTTTATTTTTTTAAAATCCCAAAAGCATTTCCGTCTAAAAATTTTTATCCCAAAAGCTTTTTTACAAATTATTAAGAGATTTTCTTATAAAATGTATACATAGTCGCTAAATATTCAATAAACGTTAACAACTAAAACAGGTCAAGAAATACATGTATTTCTTGATTGTTCCTTAATTTTCCATTGCATCAAAGAGAAAATTTTTGTTGCATCAAGAAATGCAAATGCAAATGGTAGAGAACTTGTTATAGATGGCGTAGGAGACAGCAATCCAAATAGCGCATTGCGGAACATGTCAAGTTGGACTAGCCAAGAATCTATATAGACTAAGCTGTCTTGCTAGGAAAGAAGGTGGAGGGAATATTTAGAGGATGGGAATTGGAATAAGTGAATGAAATATGAAGGATCACTTTCTTTGGATTAGCTGCTAGAAGGAGAGAAAAAGAGTGGGAAAGATTAGAAATGACATAAGCTGCTTGTAAGCTTCTAAATATCTGCTGTATGACGACTATAAAATGCCAACACGTCAATTAGTTCATTGCTTAATCATAAGGGTGACCAACTCTCAAAAAATAATGCTAAATAGAAAATGACATAGAAGGTTAACAATATTAGACTCTTGCGAACATAATGACAAGTAATGATATTTAAGAGCATTTACTGCATCACATGTTGATCTTTTGTTCTGTTTTCTTCCGAGTTATTGTTGATCCTTTACCCTTTCCTGATTTACAGCCTGGTCATTTTCAAGGGCACACATTCGACATTGTATCCGCTTTCCAGGTATGTCTGCTGGATTGCCAGTGTGCTGTTCTAGTGTCTTCTTATTGCTCCATTTAGCAATTCTTCTTTGGATGATTATTGTTGTTTAATAATTAAAGCATTTACTTTGAAACACAGTAAGGAGTTATGGCAAAAGCTTTACTAGATTACTATTCTAATGAAATTAGGAAGGCTATGAAAAGTTCTTAGGCATTTAAATTTTCTACTCTGACCCAATATGACACATAGATATTAAACATTTCCTAGCCTGTGTCATTCCCTCTAAACATATCCGATTTCTCTTCTGTATATCATCTTCTGTAGGAGGGTGGTCTTTACTGTAGATTTCAATGATCAGGATGCTGATGTTATTGGGGGGTGCACGCACATGTGTGTGTGTGTATATATATGTGTGTGTGTGTGTGTGTGTGTGTGTATTATCAACGAATGCATTGTTGAAGCACATTTTATGTCCATGTGACATTCTGTGGCAACTGGCTAATCTTTTTCTTGACAAAAAGCCATTCCCATTTATGAGTTGTCAGTAACATCCTTAATTCTATTAGTGGATACTCTTGTTTGTAAACACATTTAAATGTTGTTCTTGCGCAGCTTTTGATGTGCTGGAGTTGTAGTTATTATGGTTTATATGATAGAAACATGCTGTTTGACTTGATTTTTTTTGAGTATGAGAAAACTAAACTTAAAAGACAGCTTTTTCTAACATTTTTCAATCACCGATCTTCAATTCTGTAAGAACTTTGGCGGTACCAATTTTTCTGCTTTCATTTTACTTACAGGTGTATGGAGAGTATGTTAGTGGTTCTGTTAGTGATGAAGAAAGGATGAATGTAGTTCGTAATTCATGTCCTGGTGCGGGGGCTTGTGGTGGAATGTATACAGCAAACACCATGGCATCTGCTATTGAGACATTGGGCATGTCACTGCCTTATAGGTATAAAAATGTGTTGTAGTTACTTAAACTTTGTTTATCAAGAATTATTGCTAATGAGTCCTTTCTTCGTCTCCTTTTCAAAACCAAAGCTCTTCCACACCAGCTGAAGACCCACTGAAGTTGGATGAGTGCCGCCTAGCGGGAAAATATCTTCTGGAATTGTTGAAGATGGACTTGAAACCTCGAGATATCATCACAAAAAAGTCACTTCGAAATGCAATGGTGATGGTCATGGCGCTTGGTGGATCAACAAATGCTGTACTGCATTTAATTGCTATTGCAAGGTAGCAACTTTTCCGCAGAGTTACTTTACTTTTGCTATGAGTATGTGAGTCATGATTTGCATATCTCCGCAGATCTGTTGGCTTGGAATTAACTCTAGATGACTTCCAGAAGGTTAGCGATGCGGTTCCCTTCCTTGCCGATCTGAAGCCTAGTGGAAAATATGTTATGGAGGATGTGCACAAGGTTTGTAGAATACTATATGTGCCAATATATTTTTAGTTTTGGTTATATGGCATTCACTGCTGTCGATTTTGTTCTGATGAATGAGCTTAATTATGTAGATTGGAGGTACACCTGCAGTCATTCGCCACCTGTTGGAGCTTGGGTATTTGGACGGGGACTGTATGACTGGTAATTTTCTTTGATGATTATTAGTAGATATTTTGTTGTACTGGTCAATCTAATAATTGGTGGTACTCATTTGACTAACTCCTTGATTTGTAGTCACGGGAAAGACTCTTGCTGAAAACGCAAAGCTATTTCCTTCTTTAGCTGAAGGTCAGGTAGGTCTTTTTTCCAACGGCTGCTTTCCATTTGGTGCGGTGATGTTTTTGTCATAGGTTTGTTGCCTCCTGATGGAAATTAGGATACTCAGTTTTGTCCATCTTTTTTTGTTTTCTAGCAAATTATAAGACCATTGTCCAACCCCATCAAAGAAACGGGCCACATTCAGATATTATATGGAAACCTTGCACCAGACGGTAGCGTAGCAAAGATCACTGGGAAAGAAGGGATGTACTTTTCTGGTATGTTATATTATTTAGAACTAGAATTTAATATTTTTGTGTGTCTCGGATGCTGTTTGTTTGCCTCTTGAAAATATAACAATCACGGGAACTTGTGCATCAGGCCCCGCCCTAGTGTTTGAAGGAGAGGAAGCTATGATTGCGGCTATCTCAGAAGACCCTTTGAGATTTAAGGCAAGCAAGCTAATCCCTTTCCCTGTCATTTTTTTTCATTTACTTATGTCCTGATAAACTGTGCAATGGAGTGGGAGACTACATAAGTGCAAAAGCATCAATTTCTTAGGAGCATTAGAGCATTCGTAGCTCAGACAAGACCAGTGCATTGAGTAATAGTAAATATTGAAATTTTTTGAAGTCCAATAGACAAAAGGGTTACAAACATTTACTATTAAATCAATACTATCTTGGATGGATCAATTTTAAATTTTTTTCCCTTTTCTAGGCATTTCGATAATAAAAAGAATATGAAAATATCAACAGTTGAAAGTTTTTTTTTCCTTTGAGGTATTTTGCCTAAGCTCTCGCATGTTAACCTATTACTACTATGAAAATAAGCCTTGGTCTCTTTTTTCCTATTCATACGTGTATTTCTTGAGGCAATGGTGTCATTGTATCCTTTATGGGTTTAGTTTTCCTCTCTTCCCAGGCACGGTGTTTATGCATGCCAATAGGCTTTTCGCAACAGAAACATCTGAAACATAAGTAGGTTTTTGATAAGGCAGCAAAGAAGTAAAGATGGAATCTCTGCTTTGTTTATGTGTCTTGTTGTATAAACTTACACTCTGCCCTATATATATATATATTGGATAAGTATATATTTGATAGGTAAAGTATATATTTTGTCGAAGTATCATGCCACTCTGTGTTACTTCTGCTGATTTCTTCAGTTTCATCTAGCATTTGGTCTCGTAGACGTCCATTGCATTTGCCTAAGCAGTAAAGTGTCATTTAAGCATTCTTTTACTCCAAATTCTCTTCTGCAACGCTGAAACTGTCAGTTATTAGTGATTTATTTTGCCTTTTCTGTTTGCTGGAAAGTAACTGCCTGCAATAGTTTGAGCTTATTTTTGAGCCAGTTCAAATATGGTGGATATTTGGTAGTCTAGACATCTTATCTGCATACCATCTTTCAGGGAAAAGTTGTTGTCATTAGAGGAGAGGGACCTAAAGGAGGACCAGGAATGCCCGAAATGTTGACACCGACAAGTGCCATTATGGGTGCAGGTCTTGGGAAGGTCCGTAATGCGAGATTTATTTCTTCCTCGTCTCTTTTTATTTTTGTCCTAGGCAAAATTTTTAAGGCATGTATTTACTAAAAGTTAAGGTTCTTATTCCTATTGTCTTCCTATTTGGATTTCATTTTGAAATCTGTTGCATGGCCTTAGCTCCTAGCTTTTGGTTTTTTCATGGTGCTGAATGTTTATTTTGTTTTCTTTTGGACCATAGGATTGTGCATTACTTACTGATGGAAGATTTTCGGGAGGTTCTCATGGATATGTTGTTGGACATATATGTCCTGAAGCACAGGTACATTAGCATTTGTTATTCAACTCGTTGCTTCTTTTAGCTCATGCTGTCATGCATACTTCCTTAAAAAATCAGCTGTCAAATATGTTAAACTACTATTATAGTTCCTAGTTTTGCGAAGGCAATCACTAGTTTTTAGTTGCCAAAGTTTCTTCACTAATATTCCGATTACAATCACTAGTTTTTAGTTGCCTAGGACTATTTCTCGTTTGTTTTTCGAACGTCCAATGTGGTCATGAAGATGTGATTGATACTTAAGCAGTCGCCTTTTAAGGCAAACATGTCAGAGAAATATTAGTATGTGATAACAGTCCTAAACCTTCAGAATAGCATAGAAGAGCCTGTTTGATCTTGGTTTATTGCCATTAAGAATTGTGCAATTCAAACCCTCACCAGGAAGGAGGTCCAATCGGTCTTGTTCAAGATGGAGACATAATTACAATTGACATTCAGAAGAGGAAAATGGACGTTCAGTTATCAGACGAGGAGTTTGAGCAGCGTAGAAAGAATTGGACTCCTCCTGCATATAAAGCCGACCGAGGGGTTCTCTACAAGGTACGTACGTGATTATTTGATACTGGAGAGATGTTGAACGCAAAAAGCGTTATACTGACATAATTATTTTTTTCTCTCCAGTATATCAGAAATGTGCAATCTGCTTCCAAGGGATGTGTTACTGATGAATAGACAAGAGAATCAGTTTTTATGAAAGCATAGAGTGAACCTGGGAGAAGCTTGATTTGTAGATTTTGCATGAAGCTGCAATTGGGGCATCTTCGCGGCTCGTAGCATATTTATTATAGAGGTTTATCCTTTTTATGTTTTCAGGTGTAACTCATATACAATGGTTCTTGTTTAGAGGTAGTGAGAGCATTGTTTTCTTCCGTTCTTTTTCCTACTTTGTCATTCTGGATATCTAGTTGTTCATTGGTTTTGATTTAAATTGTATAATGCTTGGTGAAATAATATTGGTAAAGGACAATCACTTCTACTTTTGGAAATTCCCAGAAGTTTGAAGTATCTCTGAGATTTGTTGCTGTCTATACGAATTTTTTTTCATAGCCATAGGTTTGGTCTGATGTTGTGCTCAACATGATCTTATGCTCAGAAATCAGAATCTGATGACTTTGGCTGACTTGAAGTTGAACAGAACATACTAAAACATTCCTACTCTTGAGAGCCAAACTATCTTTTGCCACGTTTCATGTTGAAATTGAAAAAAGAACAGCTCAGTACACAGTATTTGCGTCCACGCAGGGTTCGGGGAAGGGCTGCACCCTAAGGATGTGATGTGGACAGTCTGCTCTAATACAAGTATTAATGGTTGCTTGTACTGCTCGAAATCGTTACACGGAGACAACAAAACAATAACAACAACAACGACCCAGTAAAATCTCACTAGTGGGGTCTGGGGAGGGTAGCGTGTACGTAGACCTTATCCCTATCCCGAAGGAGTAGAGAGGTTGTTTCCGAAAGACTCTCGGCTCAAGAAGACAAAAAGAGACAATATCAGTATCACCACAGAAATCATAGGAAAAATAGCAACAACATGAAAACCAGAAGATAGATGCAAATCAAAAGCGATAGTCAATAAATAGACCTGGCACTATGAGAAACGAAAGAGTAGTAAAACATAACATTGCCACTAGCTATCTTAGACAAAAATCCTACCAGACTAGTCTCACAAAGGTACGAAGGCAAGACTCAACTACCCCGATCTCCACAGCTTCCTATCAAGGGCCATGTCCTCCGAAATCTAAAGCCTCGCCATTTCCTGTCTGATCATCTCTCCCCAATACTTCTTAGGCCGCCCTTTACCTCTTCTCGTGCCCTCCAAAGCCAGCCGCTCACACTTCCTTCTCGCTTCCCGCATCTTGTCATCAATGGGAGTCACGCGCACCTTCTCCCGAATATCATCATTCCTAATTTTATCCATCCAAGTGTGCTCGCACATTCACCTCAACATCCTCATTTCTGCTACTTTCATCTTCTGGATATGTAAGTTCTTAACAGGCCAACACTCAGCCCCCCATATATCATGGCTGGTCTAACCACCTCTTTATAGAACTTACCTTTGAGACAACAAACTACATGTTAAAATTGAAGTTTGTTATTTATTTGGGGATATTATATGGAGTTTTTGTTGACTTATTTAGAGTCAAGTCGTTGATATGATATGAGCAAATATGTCACGCCCCGAACCATGGCCTGGGCGTAACACGGCACTCGGTGCCTGACTGCATGTGACCGAGCGAACCAACTGTATGGCTGGATCAACATGTGGTATAACTGTAAGCTAGAGGTAAATATATGGCATGATAATCTACTAAAGAGTCTGACTGAAATATCATAGATGCGGAAAATACTGAAAGGGGGTCTGCAAGTATAAACAAGTAGCCGACAAGGCTAACACATAAAAGCTTGCTAATATCTGACTGATTGGGTTATAGTCTACGAAGCCTCTAAAGAATATTGAAAATGCTAACTGTTTACCGGGACAAGGTCCCCAGTATACCTTATTCACTGAAATACTATAATGACTTAAAAAAAAGGGTAAGGCCCCGAAAGACTGGGGCTCACCAATAGCTGATACGAGATGTCCTAGCAAGCAGAATCGTCAACCTGTAAATCGTCGATGCAGGCCCCGGGCAGAAAGGGACGTCAGTACATTTGAATTGCACTGGCATGTAAAACAACTGAAGAAAAGAACTGTAAATACAGAAACTGAAACTGAACTGCTAGCTGATAAACGGATAACTAAATAAGGAAGTAAGGATATGAATATTCCCTCTTCTGAATGATGAACAACTTGTTTAACTGAATATTAAACTGCGGCCTCAGGCCCTATATATATATATATATATATATATATATATATATATATATATATATATATATATATATATATATATATATATATATATATATATATATGTGCACAACTGCGGCCTCGGGCCCAAGTATACGTATACATAACTGCGGCCTCAGGCCCAAAGATGCATAAAGCATAAACTACGGCCTCGGGCCTAAATACAGGTGTTCAACCTTCAAGAATATAAAAATTAGGATCTGAGAATCATACTGCAGTACATGATACTGAAATAATGAGCCATACTGAGTTACATGATACTGGAATAGTGAATAGGATTAGACTCAGATGAGTACTCATAATAAGTTAATTTGTTATAGTTGAAACTCATAGAATATCGAATAATTATGAAACTATGCCATCTAGAGAATAGAAGTTCTACTACTATTCAGGGGACTAAGGCATAGTTACTTTCTGAGAAAACTGGTAATGGTCATAATGAATGGGACGTAGGGAGAATCATAGACATTCCCAAACGTAAAGAGTTAGCCTTACATACCTTAACTTCCTGCCCTTGAGCGTAATACAACGTTTGTCAACCCTCTCAACTTTAATCTACAGCAATACAAGTCAAAGGGATTCCATATCAGCTATGATGCTCATGTTTGGTCACTTAAGCATCCTATCAAACACTTGGTGAGAATAAAGCTTCATAGTCCTTATTAATGGTGTCTCTACACCCCACAACCCATTCTCTTATTCCTAGTTAAATTCTAAAGTCTCAAACGATTATAATAAACATTATTTTTCATCACTCATAAGGTAAACAACACCCTTAACCAATAATCAACAATCAACACCCCAACCCTATAATCGTTCATGCTTTTCTATCAAACCCAACAACTCATATCTCACGAACTAGGATTTATAATCATTAAACCAATGCTAGAATCAATTAGAGGGTGAAGACATTACCTTTTTGAAGTTCAAACCCTTTGAATTTGAGTTCTAGGCTTCCTTCTCTCAACAATGATGTCCCAATCGAATATCTAATGATATGGAGGGTTTACCCATGTTAATAAGATGTTGGGAAATTGAAATTAAGTTAGAATCACCATTAGAACTTACCTTGGGTGGTGGAGGGACCCTTAAGGAGTTAGGTTTTTGAGAGCTTTATTTTCTAGAGCAAGTTTTTATGTTTTGGGGCTGTGGGGACGAAATAGAGCTAAAAAAATGACTTCCCAAGTTGGCCACCGCGTCCTAGTAGGCGCGACCGCGGTCCCGACCGCGGTAAATCGCTGGGACACTGCCTCACCACCGCGGTCGCGGTAAAAACGCGGCAGGAACGCGGTGGTTACACACCATTCTGTAAAACGGGCATAACTTTTTGCACAGAGCTCCGTTTGGGCTCCACAATATATCGTTGGAAAGCTATTTCAATGGCCTACAACTTTCATGCTTTGAATTTTCCCAAATTCTTTATACATTTTCACTAAACCCTGCTGGAAGACAGACCTTCTGCAAACTTAGTCGATTTTGTCAAATCTTATGCACCTCACTTCCCATCTTGGTTTTGAAATAACTATTTTTACCCATAATCATCCCGATGGGACTTCACATGTTCAAAATATAACCTTACTACTCCTTTAACTCATTCATAACTAAGCCGAATTTACGGGGTGTTACTTTATCTCCCCCTTGGAATTATTCGTCCTCGAATGATGGTCCCGGCTGCAACTACGACTATCTATGGACATTAAAGGGGTGTGATGGAGATATGCGAATACTGAAATATCATGAATACATGTATATTGAATTGAACGAGCATGTGATCATTAAATACTAAGCTGAGTAAATACTGCAGGACATGAAGATTATAATATAAGACCTGAATGGAAAGGTTAATTACCTTCCACATTTTCCTTTTGCTCTTCAAAGAGATGGGGATATCTGAACTTCATGTCCTCCTCTGCTTCCCATGTAGCCTCTTCAACCTTTTGATTCCTCCAAAGCACTTTTACTGAAGCAATTTCCTTAGTTCTGAGCTTGCGGATTTGACGATCAAGAATAGCCACTGGAAATTCTTCGTAAGACAGGCTGTCTTTAACCCCTATAATCTCTGTAGGAACCACAAGTGACAGGTCTCCCATGAATTTCTTCAACATGGACACATGAAACACTAGGTGTACAGCAGCTAGTTCTTGTGGCAATTCTAATTCATAAGCCACCTGTCCGATCCTTCGCAGGATTCTATGTGGACCAATATAGCGGGGACTAAGTTTCCCTTTCTTCCCAAATCTCATAACGCCTTTCATGGGCGATACTTTCAGAAATACCCAATCATCAACTTGGAACTCTAAGTCTCTACGCCGCACATCCGAATAGGACTTTTGGCGACTTTGAGCCGTCTTCAAATGCCTTTGTATCAAGTTGACTTTCTCCATAGCCTGATAGACCAAATCGGGTCCTAACAACTCCGCTTCTCCGACTTCGAACCAACCAATTGGTGATCTACACCTTCGCCCATATAGAGCTTCGTATGGTGCCATCTTGATACTAGAGTGATAGCTGTTATTATAAGCGAACTCAATGAGAGGTAGATGATCGTCCCAATTTCCTTTAAAATCGATAACACACGCCCTCAACCTATCCTCAAGAGTCTGAATGGTGCGTTCCGCCTGGCCATCTGTCTGAGGATGAAAAGCGCTGAGGTTCACCCTTGTGCCCAATCCCTTCTGAAAGGATTTCCAAAAGTTCGCTGTGAACTGGGCACCACGATCTGAGATAATGGACAAAGGAGTCCCATGCAATCAGAGAATTTCTTTGATATACAACTTGGCATAATCCTCGGCCGAATCTGTAGTCTTCACTGGCAAGAAGTGAGCTGACTTGGTAAGTCGGTCTACAATCACCCAAATCGAATCATGCTTCCGGAACGAACGAGGTAGACCTGTTATGAAGTCCATGTTTATCATCTCCCATTTCCAAACGGGAATTTCTATATTCTGAGTTAAACCGCCAGGTCTCTGGTGTTCGACTTTCACCTGCTGACAATTTGGACACTTAGCCACGAAATCTGCTATATCCTTTTTCATATCGTTCCACCAATAAACCTCCTTAAGATCATGATACATCTTTGTGGAACCTGGGTGAATAGAATACCTGGAATTGTGGGCTTCTGACATAATCCGCTCTCTGAGCCCATCTACGTCTGGAATGC